TTCAGGTAGTTGTTATAGGGGAGAACAAAGTATTAATATTGCTGGTTTGTAATATAGAATAATCCTTATGGTCAGATTTGGCTAAATTTTTATGAATGTTGGCGCCTGAGAGTGCCCAAATTTGTGTTGGATTTGATTAGTATGTTGTATGCTTACTATGTTCCAGGAGGATCGTTCTTTGAATACATTGACAAACATGTTCTGCTTTTAATGTTATTTCTGTACATAAAACGTACCAAATTAAGAACTAATGTACCCTTCTTACTTGGAAACAGCTTCTAGGACTAACCGATGCTAAATTAAGAACTAGGATTTGGCAGCAGGCATGGTCCGTCCGGCATGCTATAGCCTTTTAGGTTGTTATTGTTTACAATTAGGTTATGCTAAACCAGCAAATAGAGCTTCACCATTTAAAATTTTGATCCACCAATGGTGCTCCAGTGATTTCTACTTATTTTTTGTTGTGTCTTGGTAGTTTGATAAAATAGGGCATGATTTTCATATAGTTTTGTTACATGATATTACATTGGTTTTCTGACAGATTAATCCATCACAAGCAAAATAGGAGACAAGGCATCATGAAGCAACTATAGCAGGCTATGACAATTGGTTGTAATAAATAAATGGAGAATACCCACTGACAGAAGTTTTTGCGCTAAATATGTAAGCCATCCTAAACCCAATAAAAAACAAAAGAGAACAATACCGAACCTGAGTAGTATTCCAATTTTATCTCATATTATTTCATATATATCTGTCATCAGATAAGTATATTGCAAATAGAAGGGTTAAAAACAAATGTAGAATTTCTGCCAAATGAAGCTATGCAATATATGGAACTAACTTGCAATAGGATCCCATGGGATTACAACTATGCGAAGAACAGTCTGCTAAGAAAGAAATTCAGTCCAGTCAAAACGAAAATCAGTCTCTTTGGCGTCAGATTGAACATATAAATGATGAAGGGGGTGCCAGGCAGGCTCGTTGCATCCACGTCCTCGCTATTCCTCGCTATGAATAGTGCAAAGCAGCTGGCGAGCGAGCGAAAAAAAAACAAGCGAGAGATAGATCCCTGCAGCCACCGCATGCTTCCTCCATCTCTCCCCTCCCGCACCATCCACTTCCTCCCTCTGCGCCGCCTCCTCTCCTCCCGATTCGCCTCCTCCTCTCCTCCTCTCGCGCCTCCTCTCATCTCCACCTCCTCTCCAGCTGTCGCCGCTGCGCCAGGGCCTCGCCTTGCCCTGCAGTTCCTCGTGCGCCTTCTCTCATCTCCGCCTCCTCTCCTGCTGCCGCCGCCGCGCCAGGGCCTCGCCTCGCCCTCACCGCCCACTGGTGACCTCCCAGCCCTTGTTCTCCGCCTAATCCTTTTGCTTCTCTGTACAGGTAGGAACATGATACTACACTTGATCTTTTCGCAAAATAAAAACTGCTTGCAACAGAGATGATGCCTCTAATTTAGTTAGCTAATGCTGATGCTATATGGCATTTTTTTTTGTATTGAAGGAACTGTGTACATAATGAACCATATATTAATAATCCAGTGATTTCTGCTCATTACTAATCTAATGTGTTGTTTACTTGTTATAGACACTGCTGCATTTGTTGTCCATTTTGCCATCGTGAGCTTCAGGTAACTACATGTGCAAATATGCCAATGGATTACATCCTCAGGATTAACAAGTTCATGTGTGCTGCTGCTCTTACTATCTACTAGGTAGGCTGGTCTGAACGCGCTATTGATGGCGTTTTCCTCTGGAGTACCAAGAAAAATAGCAGGTAACAGAATTTCTCTTTTTGTGACTTCTTAAATGTTTGTTTCTTGAATGAGTCCACTCATTTTGTATTTCGCTATGCTATTGAAAGTTCTGTGATGCTTACTGTCTAGCTGATTTTTTTTGTAAATCAATAGTTAAGAAGATGTTGATTATATTTAGTTTGTATGACAGTAAAGGATGTATGTTAAGTGGTAAAAAAGAAGTAACATACTAATTAGATTATTTTATATTTGTATTTGCTTTGCCTTTTATCTTCCTACAATAGTCAGTTGTTTTTGGCACTCTGTGCAAGTGGTACATCATCGAAAGACATTGGATCGCTGTTTTTTTTATTTTAATGATTTTTGTTTCAGCTACCCAATTTTTGTCTTGATGGTTGTCTAAGATGAGTTTCACTTCTTTGTTCAGATCATCCCTGTAGTAGAAGCCATGCAAGCGCCATGTAAAATGGTTTTGAATCGGAACCGAAGCCATCTGTTGGAAGTAACATCTGTAGGGACTGAACCTGTATGCCACTCCCAGTAATATAGAGTGAAGGCAATAACAACATTGTTTGCTGTTGGTTTATAATCGGTGAGTTCCTACTCCTTGGATTCACCTGTTTATTGCCTGCATACCTTGGCTAGGATATGTTGTTTCTTAATATTACCCGCAAGTCTGAATCTTTTAATTATTTGTACAATATTTTTAATTATAGGAGTATTGGCCATTGTTTATTCTTGGTATGCACATCAAATTTTCAGATATTCTTAATTGTGGATGTACCTTTAGGCTTTCGTGAAATAGATATGTATCATATATTGATGCGTGTCCTAAGCAGCAGATCATTACTATAGTTTATGTAGTGTCAAAACCTTACATTATGTGCCTTCTTTTAAGTTTTCACATAAAGCTAGGGTGTTCCTCTGTTTAGAGAGTTTGGATAGAAGGCAATACTAAACTGCTTCCGTTTATTGTCTCGATATGATCTTTTAACATTGTTTCTCAACTGTGTTCAATCTGGCTTATCAATAAAATATACTCACTGTCATGCGTTCTGCCTTGATCCATTCCCTACGCTTATTTGGTTGGGTTAGTGCAGGTAACTGGCCAAGCTACTTGGCTCACTTTCGTTGCCTTTTGCGGGTCCTTTTGTGGGATGTTGTTGTCATTCTCGGCCTTAATGCTCGGAGGAGGGTCAGGGGCATTTCCTTCATGGGAAGAGGGGCATCTGTGAGGGTATTGGCCAGAAGTAGGCAAGGTAAAAAAACTAGGTTCTATCTCTGCTACATCTGATTAGGCAACTAAATTTGGTCCCCTTACTCATTTCTTTTTCACTTACTGTATGTGAAGCGATACAATTTTATTTCCATTACTGCATCTTAATATGTTTTAGCGATTGGTGAATGCACAACTTTAGCTCATAAACTACATGGCAAATGCTAATTCTGATGGGGCTTTTGCCACTTATTGTTTTGTGGTTGTCTAGACAGCTGATGGCATGGTTCTTTCTTGCTAATTGCCAATTCTTTTGTATAGGGTCCCTCGGCTACTTATGCTTTGCTAGACAATGAGGGTATGTAGATAGCATGTATGGTTTTCACATTGTTTTGTGCAGATTGAGATGCATCACATGATGTTTTCCTTTTACATTTATGGATATTACAGAGTCCTTTCCTTTTCCACAAGGGGTAGTAGCTGTGCCATTCGATTCGGAAGACAAAGAGTTGATCACAAAGGGGTAGCATTCAGGACCTTTCCTTTTCCACAAGGGACAGTAGCTGTGCCATTCGATTCGAAGGACAAAGAGTTGATCACAAAGGGATAGCATTCAGGATATATACACAAAAGAGTATGAAACCAAATTATATGATATAGTTGACCACTATTTCTATTAACTTCTTCTGTACACAATGTTCATGAGTTCATGTATTAAGTACATTTTATTGTGTCACTTGTGTTTACTCTTTTTTTAATGCAAGTTTACAGCTACTCGGAGTTCCTAATTGCAGACTCAATTATCTTGACCTACCGATGATCTAATTTGTGGCATTATTACCTTAAGAAAATATTTGCATTTAGTTTCCTTTATATAGGAGTACAAGTTCTTACCAAATGTATTCAAATATACGGTTATTGAAAAAATGGAAAATATTTTCAACACGAACATGGTTTTTTTTTTTGCGGAAAAACTTCCAATCTATTCATCTTCAATCATGGCAGTACAACGAATACCAGAAATAAAAATTACATCCAGATTCGTAGACCACCTAGCGACGACTACAAGCACCGAAGCGAGCCGAAGGCGCGCCGCCGTCATCGCCCCTCCATCGCCGGAGCCGGGCACAACTTGTTGTAGTAGACAGTCAGGAAGTCGTCGTGCTAAGGCCCCATAGGACCAGCACCCCAGAACAGCAACCGCCGCCGATGAAAAATAACGTAGATCGGAAGGATCCAAACCGAAGACACACGAACGTAGACGAACAACGACGAGATCCGAGCAAATCCACCAAAAATAGATCTGCCGGAGACACACCTCCACACGCCCACCAACGATGCTAGACGCACCGCCGGAACGGGGGCTAGGCAGGGAGACCTTTATTCCATCTTCAGGGAGCCGCCGCCGTCTCGCCTTCCTGAGTAGGACACAAACCCTAACAAGATTGAAAAAAACGACTAAAAACGAAGCCCTCCCGCCGGCCCTTGCCAGGATCCACCGCGCCTCCATGGCCCTAGGGCCACCGGAGACGAGGCGGACCTGCGCCGGCGCCGGCGAGAGGCACAAACCCTAACTTTCTTTCTTGGAGGAGGAGGAGGAGGTTATAACACGAACATGGTTTTAAACGGGTCTTTGCGCCATTTGGCGCAACTGGTCATCTAGTACTCTTAAACTGAACCAAATCTCAATGTAAGAAAAGAAATATAAGGTCGTGACTTTCTCAGGTTACAGGCATGGAACAGTAAAAGACAGCGAATTTCTGAGTTACAACAGAGATACAATGCAACAAGGTAACATAGGGAAAATGCAACAATGTAACATATAAGCAAACTAAAATTCCTCGTTGCTGAATTCGATAAACTAGTGTAATCTGGGCGCACAAAAGTGAACAATAGTGTTACAACAAAACACTGCTACGAACAAGCTAGCTTACAACAATGCGGCAGGCGCTTAAAAGACAGCAGGCAATACATGTGAGTTCAAAAATACTCTATCAAGAATAATAACTGAGACTCAGCTCACCTTACTCAACCAGATATTCCGGAGGCGGCTGCGCATGTATTGACACCATCCTTGCAGTCGCGTGTTAGGTCATTGAATGTCTCCAACTTCCTCTTCCCCCTGAGGAACACCTCAGTGTCAACTGCAACCCTCATGTAACCATCGAACTCCACCGGATTGCCATTGTTGAGCTCCTTAGTTTCAGCATACCATTCACTATTTTCATCCCAAAGGTCCTTGAAATCATCCAGGAAACGCGTCTTATACTTGTTCTTCAGCGGGTCGAAGAAGGATTTATCAGACTCGTCTGTAGCAATGTACAAATACCGTCCGGCACCAACCTTATCATTGAGTGTCGTAAGGAGATTTTCTGGCGAGGTATCTGCATCAAGGTTTGGCCACAGCTGTGTGTTCTGGGCTTTCTCTCCTCTCACGACGTGCATCGAGTCGAAATCCCAACTCATTCGAGAGGCAATGGCAGACACAATCTCCATCAAGCGGCGCGACTTCCACAAGAAATGCCATGGCCGTTTGATCATGGCCTCCGTCTCACCCTCGCACACACGTGACCAGTAGTTATCCGGCTCAACATGCCCAAACTTCCTCATGATCAGCGTGTCCTTGACGTCACGAAGTTTCATGGGGGTCACCTTGATGTCTTCAGTGTAGTGGTTCTTCAGTCGATCCTTCTTGTGCCACTTCCCCCAGTCTGTCCAGAACTGACTCTGATCGATCACAGATGCAGATTCCTTCAGGTGCTCAAAATCAAAGTAGAGCCTGAAATCTTTTTCTTCATCCTTGCCACTGGCAGTATACCGGGAATTGAGGCAGACGTTGAAGTCCATAACAAGTGTCCGATTCAAGAACTGCGCCTCACCTAGCGCACACAAAAAGCCCCAAATGTAGTGGTTCATGCTCTTGCATCTCTCACCACCTCCCATGTAAATGAGGTACCTTCCGCGGCTGAAATCGGACTCAGAAGCGACCACCGGCATGCTGTCATTGACGGCATCGCCGACAACAAACACCTGGTCTGCAGCAGTCGTGGTGTCTGCATTAGCACCATTCTCGTCGATCCTCATCTGGGTCTTGGCTGGCACGAAGTCTGTGGTCACCGGTGCCTCACGCTTTCCCTTCTTGCCCTTCTTGCCCTTGCGTCGCCCGCTGCGCTTGGCGCCGGTGCCGGAGTGGTACTCGCCGATGCTTTCCACCACGAGGGAGCATGTGTTGACATCGCGGGTGAGCGTGAACCGGCGGTAGTCCTTATAGTAGGTGGTGCGTCCTGTGGCGTCTTCGGCTGGGCGGAAGCGCCAGGCGAGGTCGCACGCCATGGGGCTCTCCGGCACCACGACGGGGCGGCCGAAGCGATAGAAGTGCAGGTCGGGGAACCTCTCGATCGACGTACGCATGAGCAGGTTGAAGAGCTCCCTATCCCCCGTGCAGTCCACCGGCGCCTCCGTGTCGCAGGAAACAGCCTCCACGATAGGCTTCTCCTCCTGGGCGGCCGAGTTGGGGTCGGTGACGGTGTCGGTGTCGACGGTGACGGACTGCTCCGTCTCTACCTCCGTTTTCTCGGATCCAACATCGGAGAGCTCGATGAACTTGGGTCCGACAGTGGCGTGGGCGTCCTCGGAGGAGTTGGAGCCGGTGGCGAAGTCCTCCCCGGTACGGAGCACGGAGTCGTCGGCGAGGAAGGTGGAGTTGGAGGTGGCGGAGGTGAGGAACGCGGTGAGCTGGTGGGAGGATGGGTGCAGGAGCGGGTCGTCGGGGCTGTGGACGGCGGCGAGGAGCGTGAACGCGAGGACGGCGGCCACGAAGAGCCCGAATAGGAGGTTGCCGCCCGACCGCAGCGCGACGCGCAGGTCGAGTGCGTCCCCGCGCCACTGCGGCGCCGACATCCCCAACCCTCGCCCCAGCATTCGTGCGGATCTGGGAGACGGGGCCGCGGATTGGGAAGCGACGGCGAGGGGGAGGGATCTGGCTGGGGCGCCGACAGGGGACAGGACGAGCTGAGCTGACGAGAGAGGTACTGACCGTGTGAGTGCAGTTCACTCCAGTTTTTTTACTGGGGGACGCGGTCGCACTCGAGTTGGTGTCTTTGTCGTTTTTTTTTAGGGTTTGTCGGATTTTATTTTATAGAGTAAACGGTCCTGAAGTTTTCCCCACCGTCCTGTCCGTCCCGTCTGCTTTGACCAAAATGAACAGATGACATGATCCAACGCACGGCCACATCCTTAAATTTTATTTATTTGGCGTTCGTTCTGTCTCATTTCCGACACAAACATGCGTCCGGTTTACATTCACACGAAGACCAAACGAACGGACACACGGTTGCACCTTGCCTGCCTTGGGGACGTGTGGCGGCCTCCCACCTACCTCCACCGCCCAACATTAATGCGCACGCGCGGTGGGACCCGATTGTCATTGACGCGGGCGGAGGGTCGTCATCCATCTTAATGTGGAAGCAGTGGACCGGCCAGTCCACAGTTTCCACTTCCTGACCGTCTTGCCTCCTCGAGCCCCGACACAAACAAACCTTAGCCCTCATCCACATCTCCGCCGGCGACAATGGTGGGGTGATGGTTCCCCGACCGCAAGACGAGGCAAGACCACGAGGTCGGGCTGTCGTCGGGTCGCCGTCGCCGCTCCCCCACCCCGCCTTTACCTCAACCTCCACCGCCCGCATTTCATATCGCGCCAGGCGGCGCCCCACCTCGCCGGCGGCCGTACGTCAAGGCGGAGGTGTGCCAGCGCGGCTGGGAGACGCGCACGCCATTGCCGTGGGGCGACGTGCACCTCCCCAACAACTGGCACCTCTCCGAGGATTGCGTGCCTGTCCCGCCGGTCCCGGTGAGAGGCCGCGCCCGCCGGGACAAGATCCATCGTCGCCGCCCCCGCCTACCCCCGGACCTCATTGGCGACTGGAGGTGCGCCGTGGACTCGCCGTTGTGGGATACGTGGCTCCGCGACGAGCACGACATCCGGCGGCAGTCCTACTTTGCAGGTCGTCCATAGAGCCCGCGGTGGCCATGCGCTGACCACCGTGCGCCCGCTCCCAGCGCGCCCCAGTCGCGCGGCCGCAGGCAGGTTTGCGACCCCCTACGCCGTCTCCGTCCCCGCCACCCCCGGAGCGAATGGCGGCCGCCGAGCAGGAGGAGCTGATGCGGCAAGTGATGGAGGAGTCCGTCCACACCCACGACGAGTGCCAATGGGAGGGCCTCGAGGAGATGTTGGCCCTGTCAGCGACCGGCGACATAGCCTTCCCCGAGCTCGACGCGTGCGTCAAGGAGGAGGCCATGGAGGAGCCGACGGGATGGAACCCGACATTGGTCGGGCAGTCTTGGACGTGGACAGACCATCGTGTCGTGCACACCGGAGGTGGACGCCGGCCAATGGTCACCATCCCCACCACGCAAAGAGGTTGTGCAGGCGCCATCACAGCTGGCACAGCAGGCGGCTCCGCCCTGGCAGGGGCCTCCAGCCCACCTCTGGTAGCCACCTCCATACGTCAACCTCACCGGTGACGAGGACAGCGACGAGGAGTAGACGGCGGCCACGGCCCTTTTATTTTTTTAATGTTTTAAATGATCTTGTTTATATTAATGTGCGAACTTGGGTAATGTGGACATTTTAATGTCCGTGTTAAATATTTTTTGAGTTGTTTTTAATCTTTATTTGGGGTTTTGGGGTTTTTATTTCCGAGTCCAAAAAAATGGACCGTTTGGGGTGCGGGCGACCCATTGGGCGCACCGATGGCCGCACGATCGCAAGCGGACGACCGTGTCCGTTTTCCTTCCCCAAACGATGAAAAGCGGACAAACTGGACGTCCGTTTGGGTCGCGCATTGGAGTTGGCCTAAGGCCATCTTCATCTCCAACGCTAACCCTCATGCGGCAAATTTTCGTGTTTTGACCCTTTTGGCAAAGTTTAGTCGGACCTGACCCTTGTCCGAAAGTATTTCGAGATATGACATTTTTCGTACCACGGGAGTCCACGACGGTAGGGTTGTATAGCCTAACATCAGGCTTCCAGATGGTAGGTTAACGGCCGCCGCCGTCAAACAACTGTACTAACTGTATCAGGGCTAACGTGGCCTAACGGCACTACCGCCAAGGTGGAAGGTGGTAGGGTAGCTAAAGCTACCGCCAACCTCCTCGGCGGTAGGGTGTGTCAGGCCCTGCCCGTGCGCCCAGGTGTTGTAACAGAAAAACGAAGGAAATTTACGGCAAGGTTTCACACCCTACCGCTGGGCAGTCTAGCGGTAGGGTCCCTTGTAACCTCAAATTGCAAAGATTTTGTGGTAGGCTGTGAGAACCTACCGCCGCAGTCCCTGGCGGTAGATTCCTCTGTCACTTATTTTTTTCCAGCAAAACTTGATCATTTCAATTCCAAATATGAATGACGGTTCAACACAACAGTAATACTGTTTGCAAATCAAAATATGATGATCTCACACATTATAACATGTAGCACACATCGATGTAAATGATAGTTCATTTCAACACATCAAATATATCAACTAGGTTCACATGTCCAACATAATAAATAGGTAGCAAACCGACAACATGAAGTAGTTCGACATAGCAAACAAGTTCTCATTCACTGTTCAACATATATAGTTTAACTAAGAGAGTTCAACACGACCATATCACTTGTTCATCCCCCTCTTGGAGGTATGCTCCTCGTTTCTCTTCGAGCGGGTTTCATCCGGCTTTTTGTGCGACGACGAGGACGCTCTCTTTGAAATGGGGATGGACTCTTCCAATCCTTCTTCTGTTGTTTCCTCCTCTTGTCGAGTCGGTGGAGGTCCGTCATCGTCGTTGTACTCATCCTCCCCGTCACCTCCTTCCTTGGCTTGCTACTCTTCCTCTTCTTCCTCATCATCTTCTCCCTCGTCCTCCTCAACAACACAAGACAACGAGGCGGCATGGGTACACACTACAAAAAAAGGACACATCGGTGACATTTTGGGCCGAACGAAAAAAAATTCTGTCATACATATGACACTTCTATGACGATAATTGTGACAGAACCCGGTATCATCATAGATGTGGTGGGCTCCAACTTCTATGACAAAAAATCATGACAAAAAATGGGCTTTTCGTCCTGGGCGGGCTGAAAACGCAGCTGCATGACATTCTTTGGGCCGTCCATGACGGAAAAAAACGTGGTAGAAGCGAGGGGGAGGAAAATTTCGGGGAGTTCCCGGTTACGGTGGGAGGTCAGGGGCCGAGCGATGCGCGTTTCTCTCGTACACGTACGCGTGTGTGTGCGAGGCGTTGGCTCTAACTGAACCTGAGCGAGGTGTTGGCCTCTAACTGAACCCGAGCGATTGCACTGCAGGCTACCGTTACTGAACCCGAGTGATCGACCGATGGTTGTTAACTGAACCCGATCGAGCGATTCCTTCGCTACTGC